AGTTCGTCACTTATTTTGCTGAATATTTATCTCGAATTCCCCCCCCCCCCCGCCCTTACTTTTGCGTTACAGTCACACACTCCATCAGACTGCCCATCACACTTACCTGTTGAGTGCCTGTTCAAGCTGTCTACATTGTTCCCTGAGTGACGTGTTGAGGTCCTCTGCGTTAGTGAGGTGGGTGGTGAGCTCGGCGTTTTCCCCAGTGAGGCGGCGGTTCGTGTGCTCCAGCTCCAGCACTTCCTGCTGCAGCTCACCCGGGTCCCTGAGGAGAAGGCAAGATCAACAACTGCAAGAACATTGTGGAGATCTATTTTTCGTCTGTTATTTCGGACAGATTTTATCGATAGAAGCTAATAAATAGGTACGTGAAACAACACAAAGTATTTAAGCAAATAATGCCGAGATAACTTCCACAACGGTCTATTTCTCGTACCAAATATCCCTGGCTGGAAAATGGCCCGGTTTTAAAAGCCCCAGACTTCCATTTATGGATGTTATTCTTAATCAAACTTGATGGGTTTGGAGTGAGAAACTGGCAGCAAATGAAACAAATAATGGCTTGGCTAGTGAAGTTCTGTGACCAAAACGAATATAACAGGATGCTACAGGTATCTAAGTTGATATATAGTTTAGCGGCCACGAAAGGAATTTAGTCAGTGGTTTCTCCCACACTATTTTGCTGACATTATAAACACATGTCATCAAATATTCTTAAAAAATTACACTTACCTTCACTACTATGATGATTGCGTTTGGTTCTCTGCAGTTTCTTAAATCCCACCATAATTCATAGTTCTCAAAAATAATTACCCTCTTTATCAAGCCTTGACACTACCCCCCCCCCAGGGGAATGCACCCCACAGTTTGCAAACCACTGCCTAAAGCTATTCCTTTATTTTCTATTTGGACTGACTCAAACTTGTATTGGGGTGGTGGCAAAAACACCATCCTTACCGCAACCCTACATTCTTGCATAATCCTCAACAGCCAGTTGTGTGCGCGTTAGCTTGTATATGGACTTTTGGGATGTCTGTTCTCTCCCAACTAGCCAGTTATCATTGTCTACTCTTTCCCAGCTTCTAGCCAGTTATCACTGTCTACTCTCTCCCAACTTCTAGTCAGTTATCATTGTCTATTGTCTCCCTGTTTCTAGACAGTTATCCTTGGTTACTCCTGATCAATAACTATATTTCTACTTTTCCGAACCTCGGTACTGTTACTTCTAATTCTACTACTTTCCTGATTTTCTTGATGATAATCTCCATATCTTATTAACATTATAATATCGCCACCATCACCTTCTCTTCTCCCTCTCTCTTTTTCTCTTACCTTCTCATTTTCCGCATTTTACTCTCCTTTTTTGCTTCTCCCTCTCCCTTTTTCCTCCTACACTTTTCCCTTCATTTTTCTCCTTTCAGATTCTCTTTCTCTTTTCCTCCCACCCCTTATTTCCCGTCATTTTTCTCCTTTTTGCCTCTACCCTCTCCCTTTCCCTCCCTCATCTTCCGTCATTTCTCTTTTTATTCTCCCTCTCCCTTTTCCTCCCTCATCTCCCATCATTTTTTTTTTTTTTTATTCTCTTCCTTTTCCTCCCACCCCTCATTCCTCGTCATCTTTCCTCCTCCTTCGCTTCTCTTACCAAGAAGCCTCACATAGCCGAGCAACAACGCAAAAAAAAGAGCTAAAAATTCACTCACGGTCTGTGCGTGCCCGCTTCATCCTCCAGGCTTCCAAAGGTGTAATTGAGGCCTGAGTGATCCGCCAGCTGAGGTACATGGTTTGCCTTTTCACCGGTGCCCCTGCCAGTCAAACGTTCACCGTTATACTTCCGTCACATGAATAAAAGTCTCCAATAACTATTTTTTATTTTGGTAGATTTAATGGGGGGAAAAATATCAGAGAAAGCTGTACTCTTATTAAACTTGGGGCAACGTTAATACTTCAAGACAAGGCTCAATACTGACGATCTGAAATTACTAAACTACATGAAACCGAAAGAAGTCCAATTAACTTACCGAAAACTGGTGTTGTCGACGTTATTGTTATTGTTTGCATTCTGATTGAAGATGAAGGAGGGAGCAGGAGAGATGGGAGAGGGAGGGCGAGACATGACCAAAGTGTCGCCCGGCACTGGCCCACTGCTCCCCGGCGGTCGCAGCCACGGCAACAACGTACTCCTTCTGCAAAGTTCGATAAGACATATATACTATATTTCTGTTTTTTTATGTTTAGCTTCATCCCGAAGAAATATGTGTAGATCCATTAAAAAAATCTAGAATCACCTTCTGCAAGATGGCGAGGCGATATTTTAGTAATGTTAGATTTATTAGTTGTGGAAAGGCGTTGCATAAGAAATATTGTAACAATTTTGGAGGATCGCAGAAATGTTTTACGCATTATTTCCTTACTGTAGTTTTGATAATAACTATCCATTGCTAACATTTTCCAAACGTAGAAATAAAAGTTATTGCATTGCCAAATATTAGTTAAATACAAATAACGAGGGAGAGACGGTCAAGTATACAGTGTTTAACAGACGTATACAAAAGACTGCAAATATATTGAAATGTCAATATATTTGTTTGTCTTTTTGTTTCTTCTTTCAACAGGCTTTAGCTCAGGCCGGTTATTTTGACCAATGAAGATGAAACACCTCTTACTTTATTGGAAAAAAGTGTATTGGAGTTTCCGTCTCCTTTTTTTTCTTTCTTGTTTTTTTCTTTTCTTTTTTTACCGTATGAAGCTGGGGGAGTTTCCATGGTACACCCATCGGATCTTTTTCTTCGATCTCAGCACTTTTTCTTAAAAAATACGCATGTTACAACAGGAATTTATTCATACATATACATATACACTTATACAAAATCACCTAAGTATGGAACAAAATGAGACGAGTCCCACCTGCAAAGTATTACAAAAATCAGCTCGAGCTAGGCCAGGCGGTCTTCCATTTTTACTTCGTAAATTACTTTTCTAATATCAGGGATATCGAGCGAATCCACATTTCTGTGAACGGCGTATATCAGTGTATTTGTATGGCGTACACATTTTTCCTTCTTGCCACTCCCTCATATGAAAGAACTGTACTGGTAAAACTAGACAGAAATACAGAAATATAAAACAAACAAAAATCATAATTACCTTTAACTTTTAATATGAATCGCACTGAAGCCCACACGTTTCATATAAATAAAAAGCTTAACTGGATACCTGGTTACTTAAAACTCCATCAATATCATCATTTGACAGCTTGCTGATAAACGCCACTTCTAGCTAAACCTTACCGACACCATATTACGGATTATCTAATCACCGTATTTAGATAGGTAATCTTTAGAACTTCCTTAAGCCGTGGGATAACTACACCCTAATCTAGACCTTAAGGCAAGGATTATCAACCTGACCTTGAGAATTTGTATTCATCACAGTAACTTTGTAATTAATGGGGGGGGGGGGGGATGATACTCTATTATGAACGCTTTTCATAACATTAATGACTTTTGCATATCAAACTGATGAATAAATATGAATTTTAAAATCAGTGAGCGAGCATGGTAGATTCGTTGACATCATAAAAAACGGGACGGGAATTATGGTAATTTACTTTCTTTTTTTTGTTCTCCGATGTCTTTTTTCTTTTTTTTTTTTTTTTTGTTCTCCGATGTCTTGCCTCTTAATCGTCTGTGTCATTCCATCTTGCTGAACCAGTAAGCCCAAAATCACGAAACTTTAGAGAGAACATAGTAGGTATATCGTTTCATGCTGATATCTGCACGTTAGTATGGGTGAGAAAATGATATTGAAAACACTGAAAATAATAATAATAATAATAATAATAATAATAATAATAATAATAATAATTTAATGATAATAATAATAATAATTTAATGATAATAATAATAAAAATGAAAACAATAATAAAAATGAAAAAAAAATAATAACAATAATAATAATTATAACAATAAAAATAACACGATATGGGGAACCAAGGCTTTACTCCATCCTTCATTACAACATGAGGATGATAAGAATACGTTCTCAAAAACAAGGCAGATGATGTATTTTTCTTTACGATATCAGTTCCTATCAAAGAATGGTATTAATTATCAATTAAGTATTAATAAACTGCCCCGACGGTCTTCATCACGTTCGGCGTTAATGAACATGGCTTCGTCATTATAATCTTAGAGATAATGCCCCTTCCTGAACAAGCCGTGACCCTTCCTACATAATTAACATTTCCATCAACCCAATAATCTTAAATTACTCCATAAGATTAGTACAAAGAAATAAGAACAACAATGCTTACTATCATGTTTTCTTTTATTACATAATTGTACGTATTATAAGAATATCAATAATTAATGTCACAAAACGTTACGATTATTAACCGTCGTAACTTAACAATAGCTATGGATTTTGAAATTAACATTATTTTCTTTTCTTTTCTTTCTCCTATATTCACGAGTAAGCCAAGCAAAACATCCTTCCCAGTACTTGCCTTGTTATCCCCCTACCCCCCTCCCCTATTTGCCATGACGAACGCAGTGAATCGTGTTGTTAATAAAGTTTTTTGTTATCAGATGGAGTCCGAGACACATGGCCTCGAAAATTAATTATCCGAGAGCTGTGAGAGATCAAAAACGAGGCAAAACATATGAACCATCTTGCAACATTAAACGTCTTCCAGAGAACACACCGACTGTATGTATATGAAGGAAAAAAAAAAAGAAAACTAGAAATTGAAATCATATGGCGTGACACGAATTATATGACAAGTGTATTCAAATAATTCAAGGCCAGAGCTTCGGCTTATTACTGGAATTACCGTTGTTTTGCATGGCGTGCCCGAGGGAGAAGGAATAGAGCAAAACACACGCTGCAACCTATAATCGACATGAAATGGCTTGCTGTCAAATAGCCATGAAATTGGCAATACGCGTTGAGGGATTGCGTTTCGGACACAACCGTCGTCGCTGGCACTTCACAGACTGACAGCGCTGAGTCATCCCCTTGGACAACAAACACCTACAAAACAAAACAATAAAAAAGCAATCTGTAGAGCTCATCGTTCGAATAATCACGAGCAATAGTGGCAATAAAACTGTTCATATTTGATATGATGAGAAGATGTCTTAAACAGACCCCTGTTTGTCGGGACTCAAGCGGAAATGTGCCCAAGATATCAAAGAAGCGGATGTTAACTTTGCTCGCGAAGTCAAATAAACAGTTAAAAGGAATGTTACGGCAACCAACAGATGCTGCGCTGGGTTGGAGCAGATCAGGCTTCAAGTAAAGAGCGCTAAAACTGTGCTCATAATCTCGAAATCTGTAACTACATATACATTATCATTTATAATGTACATTATCATTTATAATGTGTGTGTGTGTGTGTGTGTGTGTGTGTGTGTGTGTGTGTGTGTGTGTGTGTGTGTGTGTGTGTGTGTGTGTGTGTGTGTGTGTGTGTGTGTGTGTGTGTGTGTGTGTTAGAGAGAAAGAGAGAGAGAAAAGGGGGAGAGAGAAAGATATATATATATATATATATATATATATATATATATATATAGAGAGAGAGAGAGAGAGAGAGAGAGAGAGAGAGAGAGAGAGAGAGAGAGAGAGAGAGCGAGAGAGAGAGAGCGATCGCCTTTGCCTGAACAGGAAGTGCATAGAAGTAGGAAGAAAATGCAAAATGTAAGCATATGAAAATAAAATCAAGAGTGCACGCCATTCGCATGAGTCGCGTGACCCAGAATGCCTGCCAAAACATTTACTGCAGCTACAATTACCGCTAACAGCCTGCAAGAAAATGAGTAGACACTACTACTCAGTACCAACGCCCAACATGCAATATCCTTCAGAATAACTGCAGGCCGCTGAGTATGCATATTAATACACCGAGGCAGTCCATCCTGACTGTCATTTTTAAAACTATGTAAATATCATTACAAACTTTATAATATTCATACTACATACTAACTATTTACACGTTCTTCTTCTGATAACTGTCAGCAGATGAAGCTTATTAGTTATTATAAAGCAAGACCGAACGAACTCCAGTGAATAATACGAGAGGAAATTATGAAATTATACATTACAATAGTTTTCGTTTATAATGGTATTAGTGTTGACGGCTAGTGTATAAGCAAAATCGACAATCAACGCTTTCATTAAAACGCCGCAGGTGGCTGCTAGTGTCACGAAAATATTCACACCAATTAAGGAGTATGATGCACAAACGCTGTGACATGCTGGGGCGGATCTAACTGCAATTATATATGGGGCAATTACGGAGCGACACTTGAATGACAATAATACTGATAACATGTAATACAATACCGGTCTGTAAATACTATATCTGCTCAATTTATTCCCCACAAAAGGTTATTTTCAACGGTGAAAGGTGTAACAGAAACATGGCCACAAGCATATGACAAACGTACTGTGACGTAATCATTTCCATCTGAGAAAGTGCACATATATATAAACCTGTGCATACATATACGCAATATAGACTCTAAAATGCTTCTTTATTCAACCATCTTGTACAGACAAATGCAGTTAGGAAAAACAGGGATATCTCTATAAAACTTACTAACAGCACAAACCCCAAAAACGTGAAAACAAGTAAAGTGCAATAAAACTACCAGAAGGTCATTAGACGCAAAAGTTGGGATCCCACCTCATTACCGTTGCGTAATCTGTAACATCAGCAAGGCAACGGGCTCAGTAAGCACTACTTTTTTTTTGCAGATGCACTTTCTCCCATAGTTTTTGGAGTCGGGCTTTTGTGAGGTAACACTGAACTGCGCAGGTATGCAGGCGGATGTGTCACTTCTTACAGCCACCTGCTTAAAGCTTATTCACAAACGAGCTGCTCTGAAGTCGTGTTCAACATATTTGAAAGCATTTTGATGGCCTTTTATGCACGGGTTCCGACTTTGTTGTTTACGATGCTTAATATTTTTGCGCAAGGTAAGGAAAACATATAATATTCCCTATGTTTGAATAACAGTATAAACAGGCAGCGATTGTATATACTGATAATCATAAAACTCACAATATCTGATAAACCGATGTTCTGCTTGCATATGTGTATACTAACTTATACACAGTCTCTGTAGGTGTGATTCGTTATACAAAGTCCTTTGCTAGTAGACTATAGGGTCTGCTAGAAGCTGGGTCTATTCTCAGGCAATAAATTAATGGAAAAAAATTCACACCTTCAAGCCGAAAGTTAATAACCTATCAACCAGGGTTGGCTTGCGTTGCAAGCCAACCCTGACAGCTACATCATCAATGCCTAAAATAGACTTGTTAGTGCCGACGATTTGCACCCATTAACTCGAAGTAAGAAACACCACAAAGAACAAATACATGGGTGTATTCGCGAAGCATAAGCCGCATACTTTCCACTTTGCACAGAACCAGTCACACTTTATAATACATCGCCTCTTAACCTGCATCTTGTCAGTTTGCCACATGCACCGGCCACATATTATTGACCACAATGTTTATTCAATCCCGCCAGCCGCTTCGCTGTACTCAAAACACTATATATAATTCAGATATTAAAAAGGTTATTGGCGATAATAATGCAGTGAAGGAGAAGAGCAGGTGAGTGATCTGATTATAAATTCTGATTAAGGAAAGGAAAAACGCAATTAGCGAGCAATTCACTGCAAGTAATCAGAGAAACAATCACGCGCCCGGGCACAATCACGGGTCACTGTGTCACGTAAACGGTAGAGGGAGAGATTGCATTGTCATGCAAGTGTGCAACAACTCTTAAATGATACGCCCGAACCCGTGCACCTACTCATTTTACAATTTTCGGTTTCTGATTACGATACGTTTCCCATTCTTGCTATTGTGCGAAACTAACAGCTGAGAGCTCAAGAGAGACTCACTTGAGCTGAGCGCTTTCGAAGAGGGTGTGCGGAGATTCAGGGATGATTAGGAGCAAGAGCAGAGGAAGAGTAGGGAATATGCGAAGGAATAGATTAAGAAATAATCTACAAGGAAAGGAGAGGAAAGGAGAGGAAAGGAGAGGAAAGGAAAGGAAAGGAAAGGAGGCGGCGATGAGTTAAAAGACTGACCAAGACACGAAATTTCCGAGGGAGCGAGGACGGAGTTACGCGCCATTAAAGGGTACAGACACAGCTCATAGGAAGCGAGAGGAGAGTATCTACAACCACCGAGTAACAGGCAAAGGCGTCTGGGGAAAAAAAAACGGCAAAGGAAATCGGAAGCAGAGGAAGAGTGTGTGAAGAGAGTTACTGCAATCGATAAGCCAGGCTAGTTTACAGTGCCGAAAGAGAAACATAATAAATGCGATTCATAATTAAGGATGAAAAAGAGAGCGATGAATGAAGACCCGCGTGTGAATGGAGCGACGGAGGAGCATGCAGGCAAAATTTGAGAGC